CACATTCTGACGACTTTAGTATAGTAGCCGCGTTTCCTAGATAGGACTTGAAAATGATGATTTTGAAATTGCTACGACCTGGAATTTTTACATAGAATTTGATGTGTAGCTGTAACCTGGTACCATCGTCAGTCTATTTAGATACAATGGCACTGCAGGAGCATGATTATATATTGCTGCATTTGAATTTCTTCCTATAGGTAAATCAACAGGTTCTTTATCCCATTCTTGCTGCTATTTATGTTATTCGGGGAGATTCTTGTAACCGGTGAAGCTAAGGTTTTGTTTTCCCCTTGAAGATCCCCTCAGTTGTCATCTCTGATTTAAAAGCTATAAGGAAAAGGGCATTTCGTTGTCATGGTAATGCTGAAATTAGCCTCCATCTTTGCTAGCAAAATAAAGCATAAATACTGCTAATATATCTATGATGACCCTGATCTGTGACACATAAGTGCCCTCTAATGGAAAGTCATTATTTGCACAAGAGTAGAATTCCTTATATATTCTTTTTAGTACTTCCTAATTGAAAAGAAAAACAAATTGACATACAGTATAGGGAAGTCAAGTGAATGCAATCACTGAGCAACAATTATTTTCCAGCAAACACTCTAATTGCTTGTAATATCCTACATTTTCCTCAGTTTACATTCATTTGTGATCTCTGCAATGCGATGCATGCAGCAGTATAGAGAGCATCTCAGAGGGTCACTGTGTGTGTACATTCTAAGGCCTGTGCTGGGTAATGTGGGACTACACCGTCCTATCCCATAAGGTGGCCATACACTGTGCAAATTTCAGCCAGTTCTTGATGAACCAGCCAAAATGCGCACAGAGGGTTCCACTGTCGGCACCCTTTTGGAGTCGGCCGGAAAATCTTCATACAAACAGAGCGGCAGCCAATAAGCTGCCAGCTCTGTTTGGGCATTCTGACAGAGGCCGGTGGCCACTGTCGTAACAAAATGAAGACAGAAGGAGATTTCTTTATCAACGCTGATGTAGGAATCTGTTGTATTTTTTTTTTGGTTCAGCCCACAGGTTGAGTGAACAAAAAAATAGAACAGTGTGTGGCCAGCTTTACAGCCAAGGAAAGTGCCATCTTAGCCTCCATTTGATTGCAGTTGCCATGGTGTTGAACATGTCATCAGCTATGACACCAGCCATTTGAGGGCTTGAAAGTTCAGTTGAGAGCTGAAATAAGCACACTGACAACCTTGACAGTTGGCATGTCTCAAATGTAACTGTTTTTGGAGACGTTCAATTGGTGGGCAAAGTTCCTCTGAAAGTAGTACTAAAGGCTTGGTGTTTTTACATTCTCTGCATTAAGGTAAAAAACACCCAGTACCTTTCTAAAACCCAGCTAGCTAGCTGATGGAGGCACCAGTGAGGGGGGTGGGGCTAGTGGTTTGGATACCACTGGGCACTGCTGTCAGAATACAATGTACACAGCGGGAGATTCGTTCATCCATGCTGTTAGCGTAGATGGAGGAATTTGTCATATTTTGTTTTCATTCAACCTTGCAGGCTGAACGGAAAATAACTTTCGCATGTACCCAGCTTAAGATTTAAAAGATTACCAACAGACAGGACTGTGGTAGACTAGAATACTCTAAAATACTGAAGTATTGGTCAGAGCACATAGGTTGAGCTCTCTGTATGCATTTCATTGTAACTGAACAGAATGCAGGAAGGGTGTTCAGTGTAGGCTCTGCCAATTTGTGTCCTTGCAAGCACTGACAGTATTGGTGGGAAACTGCATTATGGCTGTTATAAATCATGATAGCCTGATTTATGCATTTCTGTAAACTATGTAGCTTTAGAGTGTAGTAATGCAGTAAAGACATCGAACCTATTTATTCTCTAGATGGTCAATTATTTCAGTGTAGACTCCTTCCCTCCCTCCAATTAATCTCCTTTTTTCTGCCTGCTGCAAACCTGTGGCAAATAAAGGCTGAGAATGAAAAGTGCAAATGAACAGACTCAGTGGACTGAGAAATGAGTAGAATGAAAGCTGCACAGACAAGAGCCTCAGACATAAGGAGCCGTACGGAGATTCAAAATGGGGAGATAAAATACAGACAGGGTGTGGACGGGGAGACAGAATATAAAATGTAGAACACAAAGTAGAAAAACGTAGAAACAAATGCTACAAGCATGCTGACAGGGTATGGATTAAGCTAAGACATTTAAAGCTGATCTCCAGGTTGATATAATAAAACATGAAAAGCAATGCATTTAAATGTGCATTGTTCAGACTATTGTGGGGACCGCGCAATACAATACCTTGCGTCCAAAAAAATGCGCGGGAAACCCAAACGCTATATGTGAATTGAGCCTTTACAAAAAGGCTAGAGTGTAGCAGGATCACCATGATTGTAGGCATCCCCAGCGGAAAGCTGCCATCATAAGTATAGCAGCAAGGGATGAGGTGACGTCCCGAGTTGCATGCTTTTGCTGCCTGGGGATGGCAAAATGGGCCACCTCAGGTGACAATTAAGCTAGGTACGCTCCTAACCTGGAGCGAATCAATCTCTGCTGCATGTGCTGGCAAGGAATACACTGACTGTGACAAAGAGCAGAGGGAGCAGATGGATCACTTTATTTGTCTGTTGCTGCTCCTTCATTGTCCAGTTACATGCTGAGGAAGGGAAGTGACCGGACTATACTATTTAACTACAGACATTCCTCACTTAAAGAGGAATTGTACCCATATCTTTAAATTAACAACAAACACATCTTAAGGCCAGGTGCACACTTGCCGCGCATTCGTGTGTGGTTGTACACAGCGTTTGCAATGTGGCCCCATTGATTATCAATGGGGTTATATCCGCTAGGCAATCGCTGAAAAACGGTACATGTACCTTTTTTTCATGACATGCGACACACGTTTTTTTTCAGCCGCAATCGTGTGCGATTCCACAGGCGGAATTGTGGCAAGAAACTACGCAATCTGCCTGGACAGCTGGGGTGCCATTAGAAAAGAATGGCACTGCCAGCGCCATCAGCAGTGGTGTGCGATTCATTCACGATTACTGTGCGGTCACGGTGTGAACCTGGACTTAGAAATGTTTAGTAATAACAATCAACAAACGCATACTTCTACATAATTGCTGGTTTTGTA